CCCCTGCAGTTTCCTTCCTCTCAATAGCTATTTTCAGCATTGTTGACTGAAAAAAAATCTTGCACATGTTAATATTACTACAGAGAAGGCAACCACCTTTACACATTTGCTCAAATGGTCATTGTTGTTTTTTTTCTCCTGCAAGCAATACAAAAAAACAGCCTACAAGCCCCACAGCGTAGTGCTCCAGGGAAACTCTAGCGGGAACATGGAAATGCTTCAGGGGGCAGCACTTTATTATGCAGCCTAATAATCCAAAAGCCACAATGAAAATAATTAGGATATAGCAGCTGGACAGCATAAATTATTTATTACCTGAGTTATGGACTGGACTATGAAAAGTCTTATCAGGTGCTTTATTGATGAATGAAACATTTTTTTAAAAGCACCTAAGTAACTTTGGCGCAGATCCTCAATTGTATTTTGGTGTGTAACTCGCGTTGAAGTCAATCACCTACATATCTTTGAGGAGATGGGCTTAAGGCTCATTTTCAAAACTGGCATGCAAAGTCCCACTGCCCATCAGTGAGACTGAGGCCACATCCACACTGTAGCCTTCTGCCAGACAGCTGGGGTGTGATCTCTGATGACTCTAGCTGAGCTAGCACATGCTCCTTGTGTAGCGGCAGCTATACAGCACACCCTGCACTGCATGTTTACCAGTATAGTTTGTTTCACTTGCTGGGTGGGGGTGGTTTTACTAAACAGCTACAAAGCACAGCTTTGCCAGTATAAACAGCATCCACAAGGAGTGCCTTGCTGGGACTCGTACACTGGGGAAACACTTCTATTGCAGCCATTACCTTGGACTCCTGAGTGGAGTGAAAATGGGACGGAAGTGCCTAACGTGATTTGATGATGTTACCCAGATTTTTGGGAATGCAATACCTGAAACCCCCCACCCCCACAAAAACAAACAAACAACCTGTATACTTTGGTGTAGTGGTGGCCAGTGCTGGTCCCCACCCAGGGCTGGAGGAGCCCAGTACCAGCGGTAGGCGGTAGAGGGCAAGGGGAGCTGCTGAGTGGTGGGCGGAGAGTGAGGAGACGTGGCTGGCCCCGAGACACAGCAGCTGGAGGAGGCTGGAGGGTTTGTGGCCATAAGCAGAGCCACCAAGCGCCTCTCAGCCAGGCCACCTGCCTCGCTGTGGGACTCCAGAACTTGGCCGGAAGAAATGACAAGGCCAGGTCCCAGCGCCCCACCCTGGGCAGGGGGAGATCCCTGTAGGGAGGCACTGACTAATGGGCTGGTGCTGCGTCCTGGGAATGTGCTAGCTATCCTGCTACCATGACAGGGAGCGACATTGCCCACCCCCTTGAGAATGAGGCCCAAATGCTTCCTCCAGCACCCCCCCAAATACCACCTCCCAAGGGACACACACCCTCCAGCACCCCCATCTAGCTACCCCGCCCTTTGCCTCCAGCAGTGGCCTCTATTTGGGAACTTGAAGTATGGTAACCCTCCAGCCGGTCCTGCACTGAGCTGCCATGCCCTAGGGCGGGGTGGGCAAACTACGGCCCACGGGCCGTTTTAAGCTGGCCCTCGAGCTTCCCCTGGGGTGTGGGATCTGGGGCTTGCCCCTCATCGGTCTGCGATACCCACCGCGCATGGCCTGGAGCAGAATTGGGGGCCACTCCATGTGGTTCCCGGAAGCAGCCACATGGCCCCCGCTCCAGCGCTGCAGCCAGGGAGCAGGGGCGGGCGCTTCACACAGCTTCCGGAAGCCGCGACATGGCCCCACTCCAGCTCCTACGCACTGCAATGGCCCCTCCCGTGCTCCAATGGGCGCTGCGGGGGCGGTGCCTGTGGACGGGGCAGCGTGCAGAGCCGCCTGGCTGTGCCGCTGCATAGGAGCTCGAGACGGGACATGCCGCTGCTTCCGGGAGCCATTTGAGGTAAGCGCTGCCCAGCGCCTATATCCTTGAACCTCTCCTCATGCCCCAGCCCCCTGAGCTCCTACCGAACCCCTTGATCCCAGCCCAGACCACCATCCTACACCCCAACCCCCCCACCCCCCCCCCCCCCCCCGACCCCCCCCCCCCGCCCGAACCCTCACCCCCCACCCCAGCCCAGAGCCCCCTCCCATACCCTGAACTCCTCATTTCTGACCCAGCCCCAGAGCCTGCACCCCAGCCCCAATTTTGTGAGCATTCACGGCCCGCCATACAATTTCTATTCCCAGATGTGGCCCTTGGGCCAAAAAGTTTGCCCACCGCTGCCCTAGGGACCAGGTCGCGGTGGTTTTGCTGTTTCTGCCTGTAGTAAGGGCAGTGCATGAAGGGGAAGCTAGCCCCCATACCTTCTGCCCAAGGCACCGCCCCCTCTTGCCACTGCCAGAGCCCTGAGCCGCAGCCACCTGCCCCCTCACCCCATCCCCAGGCCCCTCTGGCCGGCACGAGCACCCTCATCCCCAGGCCCCTCCGGCCGGCATGAGCACCAGGCGGCCCCAGCACCGGGCAGCCCAAGCACTGGCTCCAGCCGCCCAAAGTCCCGGGTCATAGGCTGGCCCACCCTAGCCCCAGCCCCAGCCTGCTTCTGGGAAGAGGAGCAGCCTGGGCTGGGGCCACAGGGGAAAGCGCGGGAAGCAGGAGGGGGCCTCGGGGCAGAGCATGGGTGGGGTCACACGTGGCTTTTCGGGGAGGCTTAGCTTCTCCTGGCCTGCGATATCCACCGCTCATGGCCTGGAGTCTACAACGCTGTGATTGGGCCCATCAAGGTAACGGTCAGGCCCAGCCAGAGTGCCTAGCTCTGCCCGACCTCAAGCCCTTCCCTCATTCTCGGGCAGGTGGGTGCCTGTGAGACGTGCCAGGGTGGTGGGTGGGTGACTAGGGCAGGGCTGCCAGGTGCAAGGCACTCAGTGGGTTGCTGAGGTGGAGGATGTCAGCAGGGGCTGGCTGTGGCACCTGCCTGGCCCCTTCGTCCGCTTGCTAGCTCTGATCCCTGCTGAGGCGATGGGCCGCGCATGCCCCATGGGACCCGTCTCCCTGACAGATGTGTGTTAATAGTGGGCCATGGTGCCTATTGCAGCTGCACAGGTGGGCCTGAGAGAAAAAAGTTTGGGACCCTCTGGGCTAGTGCTTAGTGCAAAGGCCTGGGACTCAGCAGCATCTGGAATCTGACCTGAATGACCAATACACACCTGGACATATTCAGCTCTGTGCAACTTGTTCCATCAGTTGTGTTATGCCAGGGCTGAATCTAGCACACCATATGATCACAGGTAAGTCACTTCAACAGCTCAAAACAAACCCTTTTGCCTTCTTTAACCCAGCTGTAAAACTATGTGACCATCAGGTGGCACTGATTTTAGCTGCCCTGGATGAAGGCCTGAAGGTGCCATACAAAACCCTGTTTATTACTCCATCTGTGGACAGTTAGCCTCCTCTCCCTCAGCTGGTTACGCTGTGCATTAGGTTTCCATACATGTTCTGCTTATTAGGAAATGTAATTTAATTTGAGAAATAGTTTTGCTGGCTAAAGTCAAGATATTGCCATCATTTTTCCCCTCCCCTCGTGCTCTGTGTTTGCAACCAGAGCAGCAGGGAAGTAGAATTACTCTAACAAGCAAGTCATCACATGCCTTCCTTTTAAAAACAAAATCTGGTTAATTGTCCCTTTTCCCACTTGCTAAAGAAACTTGGGTTTGGTGAGAGGGGGAACTTGCCTCTGATTCAGGGTGGGGTGGTTTTTTTGGTTATTCTTAATCTTTTCCAAAAATCAAAGAAACACAATCTCAGCTGCTTCACTTCAATGGGAATTTCCCCTGAGAAGTGACTGACTTAGGCCCAGAACCACAAAGGCAGTTGGGCATTGCCATGCTCTGGGCATGCCTACTGGATCAAGTTCTGCAGGTGGCATGGGCATTGCCCTGCCTGGCAGCCCAATTTCAGGATTGTGCTGTGGCTTAGGGAGGAGATAGGCATCTGGATGCCTAGCGTAAGGCAGCAGCGCTCATGCCCACAGGCAGAACCGTAGGTATCTAAGGAACTTTTACAGTGAAAATTTAGGCACCTACAGGGTGAGGTAGCAGCTGTACAGAGGTTTTTCTGGAGCACAGTGATGGCTGCAACTGGGATGTAGGTGACTAAACCCCACATGTAAGTGCCTAAGCAGCTTTGTGGTCTGGGCCTTAGTAAAAATGGAGACCCATGTCCATTTTCCTAGATCCATGCATGGAGGGAGCCTTCTGGATTTGGATCTCCCCCACTATTTACAGCACCATTGCCCTCTCTTCCTTGGACTCCAAAGAGAACTTTTTCTGTGCTGCTGAAATCACGCAAGGGGAGGTCCTACAAAGCTATCTCAGAAAAGCCTTGAGCTGAATTATCTTTTCTATAACCCTCCTCCAACTCCTCATCTGGGTTTACTGAGGCAAAATAAGTTCTTTACCAAGACCACTCATTAGAGCATCAGCTGTGTTGTGCCATGGATTTGTAAGCAGCACTGAAAGTGGTGCTAAGAACTGAGGGTGTGACGTGGCATTGAGTTACTGATATAGCAGAATCCTACAGATCAGAACCCCCCACTATCCAAACCTCCTTTTCCTAATGACCTGGATCAGAAGTCAGCATGGCGGTTACATGGCTGCCAATCCTGTGTTCAGTCCACTAATAATAATTATTATTATTACTCAGAGGACTTTAAAAAAATATCACTATTCCCATTTTATAGACAGGGAAACAGAGTCAGAGAGACACAACAGGTCAGTAGCAGAGTTGGGAACAGAGCCCTGGTCTCTTGATAACCAGTCTGGTGCCCTGACCATTGGACCATATTGCCTTTAAGTCTGAGTTCCTCTTTCTATCTGTGCTGTGCTGCAGTTGTCTCACAGTACTTCCCATTTCATTCACAATGTACAAGATAGTTCTCGATTCTAAAGCAAAGGCTAATCCCAGTTTTCCATGATGAGAGGTGACCCCCTTCACCTTCATCTTTCATACCAAAAGCCTAAGCTGTGTGGATAAGATTAAAAAATGACAAACAAGAGGATTATTAAAAATTTAACTCTATATCATATTTATTATCAATCCACAGGATAATTTGATTGCTACATGAGCTCATAAAAGCTATTTCACCTTTACAAAATTAAAAAAATGTGCCACAAGGATGTAATAACTGCTGATAACCCACCAAGAACTGAATCTTAAAATTATAAATTTGCTGTAGAAAAGATTAAAAAAACAATTATATTCACTTTAGAATTTTACTTTGAATAAAATATTCCCCTGTATAAAAAATAAAAAAAACTTGCTCTGGTTAGAATTAGAGTACTTTTTTTCTTCTTGAAATCTGGGAATTTGCATAATATCTCTGTAATATTTTTCTTCCTATTGTACCACGCGGCATTCAAGCATAGCAGATTAGAAACAAACACGAGAAAAGCAGTCTTACAATGTGTGAAATCCATATAGGAAGGTTTACCTTCCTTTTCTTTCCCTTACTTCTCAAGACTTGTTAGCAAGAATAGCCTTGGAAAAGAATAAAGATGGGAGGGGGCTTTGAATGTGCCATTAATTAGAGCAAGGTAATAAAAGGCCTTTTCGTAAGTGCTTTTTAATAAGGTGCAGAAGCAGACTGCAACGTTGCTAGTACTGCACTATGTACATATTCACAATAGATTTTTTTATTTAAAAAAAAAAAATTCCAGCTAGTTCACATTTTCTCTTCCATTCTGAGGCTTTCAGTTCCATCACAGCCTTGACTGCAAGAAGTGCAGCAATACCACTTCCCCTGTGGTTGTTGGTCCTCTTATGAAGTACTGGAACTTATATAAGTGGGCCAAAGTTCTGTTTTTCCTATGCAGTAACCTTGGAAATCCATCTGGTTTCAGGTATACATACTGATGGCTGGAGTCCTGAGTTAAAAAGCTCCAGTACTGGAGTCGGACACAGCAATGTTCTATATTGTCAAGGCTTTCCCTTAGATTTGTCTAATGTGCGTCAGAGTTGCACCTCTTCTAGAGAAACATAAAATACAAAAACAAACCAAAACTAAAGAGACCCAGTCAGAGGCTTAGCAGCTCTTGACTCTCGACTGGGTGATGTCTGATGTTTTCTTGATGACACTAGCCCGTGTCTCATGGTCTGGCCTGCTGCTGCTGGCAGAAGCTGAAGACACGACTTGTGGGAGAGGGATAGCTGGGAAGGGGGGCCAGGAGCTGTTGTAAGGCAGTGGGGAGCTTTCTTCTTTGATGGTGACCTGGAGGTCAGGCTTGTTGGAAGTCACAAAGGTAGCCATACTGGGAAGAATATGAGAAGTGTTCCTCATACCAAGATTGCTCAGATACTGTTTGCCTTCAATGTTTTTCTTTTGCCACTGAAGCCGACCCTGAAAAGAGAAAGACCGTCAGTGAATGTGATTTTATAACTACTCCTGCTAATATAACTGATACAGAGGCTGCTCTCTTCTCTCTTTCAGTCATGCCCTAAATTGCATTACAGTGTTGTAGCCTAATAAAGGACCACGTACTAAGGAATGGCCACTAAAACCTGTGCTTCTAGCCTTTTATGTGTGACCTTGTGATTTCTTCTCCCTCCAGAATCCCACTCTCTTAAGTCTAGATGTTCCTCTGCATAACTTACCCTGCTGATGGAAAACAAAGGCCATATTCTCAGTTATTCTGGAAAAATGGGCACGGGGATAAGGAACTCTGAGCTTCAAAGTGCAAAATTTCCCCCATTTGGTCAATCAGGGGGTTCCCCCCTCCTTGGAATGGGCAAGGGTTTCAGCACCTGAATCCAGGGGAAGTTTGGTCACCCACAGAAGTCAAGTGCCTAAACATAGATATCTTTCCTTAGCCAGCACAGAACAGAATCCAGCAGCTGTTAAAGCTACTAGCATTATTCTTTCATGGGCTATCCACTCTGATATCTACGCGGCCTCTAGGCGATCATGCCACAGAGAGCATCTGCTCCATCCCCTAATGCATGCAGAACATCAGTGCACACCCAGGAAGGGAATTCTAGGAGACCGGGGAGCAGGGTAATCTTACTATAGAACTAGTGCTAAGCCCCGCACTGGGAAGCTAGTAGAGGCATTTCTCATTCCCAGGTTGTTCAGACTGTCCTAGGGGAGTCTGCTGAGTTTTGTTCTCCTCGGCCTGCAGCAGCAGGATGGAAAATATGGCCCACAGGATCAGCAATGTTTTAGGGTCACTTTCCTTATTCAGGCCCTACTAAAGCCAACCCTCCTCCTGGCAGCAAGTAGCAGCTCAGCCGTACTCCAGCACACTACCCTGCAAGGTGCTATTTTTACATCCTTAGAGAATTTTCACTTCTTTTTATGGTATTAAATGTCATTAGCTGGGTAAGTTCTTCCCCCAAGCTCCCCTCCCTCTTCAGGAGGATGAGAGATGAAGAGCTTATTTAACGTTAAAGTATGTACACTGAGAGCAGAGTTAATGTTGCTGCTCATTTTTTACTTCATAACAGAATTCTCCCGCCAAAGGGATTCCAACTTTTTTTTTTTTTTTAAACCGAGCAAGAAAAGGTCCTTGCAGAGAAGTCTTTCATGAATATGAAGCTGGAATCCTGAAGCCAAATTAGCCTCGTCTCTAATATACATATGTATTTTTATGTCCAATTACATGATCTACATATATAAAGCTGAGATTTACATGCACAAATAGATGTGAATGCATCTATTCAGCAGGTGCAAAATTAGAGGCTGGAAATGAAAAATTGTTCCATGGGTTCTGTTAGGTCACAAGCAATAGCTCCACACAACATTTGGTGGTTATATATTATTTCCTTTGATTTCTTTTCATTCAAAGCATGAGAACAGACTCGTCAGGAAAGCTCACGTGCACCACATTTGCAAGAGTCTCTCCATCATTAAGATCTCCATTTTCTGCTATTGTGTGAGCCCAGACAACATACAAGAAAATCCAAGCAAGGCTGCTCATAACCAAGATAAAATACTAATCTACCCAGAAAGCACTGAGCCATAACACGCATGCATGCACAAAGCCCCTCCGTTGCTTTATTCTGTATAAATAAATTTGTTTGTTTGTTTCCTCAGTTGACATCTCTCCAAAGCACATATTTGATTTTCCTATACAAATTAGTTTACTTCTAATTTGAGAGATCATGAAGTTGTTTTTTGTTTTGTTTTTTGTTTTTAAAACAGGCATCAACTTCATTCTACAAGCATCTGAACATTAGTCTCCATACAAAATTAATACTGTCCGAGTAGAAATGTATTTTGATGGGGACAATGGGAAAGAAACTCCACAATATGTGTCACTTTAGTACTTGAAGAATTTCTCCTGAGCACTATAAAACCAAGTGCTTACCTCTGCATTTTCTTCATCACTGGGAATGCTGTCTGTCGTTTCACTTTCTGTTGGACAAAATGGAAGTAAAAATGAAAGTGGGCATCATTCTACCTGAAGTATCAAAATCCATCTAAACAGACAATATCCACTGCTAAGAAACAGGTCACTATAACCTCTTCTAGAGCTAGAAAAGATTAAAAGAAACACATAAATAAATAAATTAAATAAACAGTACAAGAGCCTTCATTCCCTGTCATGCATGAATTGACTCCAGACTTGTAACATGAGGCCTATATAAAAAGCAGCTTGCTGAACCTGTGAGCGCCTGAACAGAGAAAAACAAAAAGATTAACATGATAAACAAACCTGTGCACTTAAAACAAGGAAACAGACTACACTAGGTGTAGGAAATGTTAAAGAGAAGCAGATGCACAAGGAGCTTAACCTTACGGGCAAAAGGAGAGACTTTATTTTTCCTTCGCCACCGTGTTTGCTACCTAGAATACCATTTTATGGCATGGCTAAAATGTTGCAGTCAAAGCCCTTTCCTTTGCTTTATCAAAGCAACACTATTCACAACTGCACCCAAAGAGAGATAAAAATGCTTTCATTTGATAATTTCTATCTAAACTTTCAGCCTCAAGGACTAGTCTTCTGTAACATGTTTTGTTACTGCTACTATAGAATTTGTTCTCATTTACTTTTATTTCATCCTTCTCTTGCCCTTAATATCCCACCCTGAGCCCCTCCATCACTGAATCTCCACACACGTCCCTTTTGATCCCCACAACCACTGTACCTTCCTTGCCCCTACCTATGATCATCCTCTTGATCACTGCACCTCCACATACACACACCCACCATCAGCTCCCCCAAACACTGCACCTCTATACACAAGCGTGCACACACACCCTCTCCTCGCCCCCTAACCATTGCACCTACACACACACACACACACCTGCCATAACCCCACCAACCACTGCACCTTCACATATACCCCTCCCATACTTCCCCTGAGCACTGTACCCTGACATGCCTCTTATCTCCCCACACACACACACAGTGCCTCCACCTCCACACTTCTCATCACATCTGTATTCCTGTCTCCTAACCCAAATGCACACACTTAACCGAATGGAGGTGAGTGGGCCATAGACCCTCCTCTGTGTCACATACAGTGCTAAGCAAATAGATGGGATCATTGCATTCTGGAAATGTCACTTTATTGCAGCATAACCTATCCACATGTGGGAGTTATATAAAAACAGCTGAATAGTTATTCTGATAAAGATTAGGATTTTGCACAGCTTCATATGTGCTGACCTGGATAAACAGAGTTGCCGCAAGGTGTTTCTTCCAATTACGCCAAACTACAAGCAATCTGTATTGAAGACGAGGGGCACAATTTGAGAATGACATGGATAGAAGGAATTCACATGCAGACACGAAACAGATACTCCAATGTACAGAAATGTGTGGTAATAAAGAATTTTGTAATGCAAACAAGAAGGAATCAGTCCTTCTTGTTTATATATTATCAAAGTCTGAGCAAGAGACGGTTTCAGCACTGGCAAAGGCAGAAGGTAACTGGGATGCACAAAATTCTAAAGGAAAGAGAGGCTGCAAGACTATTTGAATTATTGTCAACAAGATGAGGTAAGCAAAGAATGAGGCTAGCAAGTGAGGGCAATAATAGGTGTTAGCTTGAACAGCTTCAAAAAGGAGGTAGATGGGTTTTTGCAAGAAAACATTTTTGTGTACTTCAGACCACTTTTTGGTAGCAATGATAAAATAATTGTTATCATGGTAAGTCACTGCATAATGAGGTGGCCTTCTCACACCATGCAATATTGCACATGGGATGTGCCTGATGCATCCTTTGTGCATTACTCTGCCACACCATGCTATTGCAAGTTCCAAAACAAACCTGGGTCTCTTGAATGGTTGTACCATTTGGATTTGCACAGTGCAAAGTGTGAAGTGAGATTATCCTATGAATTTCAGGACTGGTGGCAGTGCTTACATAAAACCTATCCTCCTATCCTGTGAATCATTTGTATGCTTAAAAAAAGTCCTGGACCAGATCCTTGTCTGCTGCCACGAAATGCACTCATGAAATAGAAAGGTGGCATTACATTACCTTTGTGCTTAGCCAAGCCTGAACTAACTGTGAACCAGGCCGATCCCCGAGCATGGATTTAGAGCATCCTGAAGACACCCACAATGCCAGTACAACAGTGGAGAATCAGCAATGCATAGGGACACCACAACTGTGCCTCATTTTCCCTATGCATGCCCTGTATGCTGTACCAGGGAGGGTAGCATAAAAGCCATTACACGAACACTGGAGGATATGCCTACACGTGCGTGATCCTCCCATGGTCAGCTATGCTGGCTATTGGGCTGCTTCATGACAACGGAGTGGTGCAAAGCAGATGCTGCACATCCCAAGATCTAGTTCCATATATTTTCTATGTACTCAAATTATTTATTCTTTGGCTGAGGTTAAGAGAAGCATTTTTGTCATGTTCAGTTATACTGGGAGAGTTGTGCAAGAAGCATTTGACAGACAAATGTTTCTAAGGCCCGATCTTCCATTAGTAATACATTTTATAACATCCTCTTCCCAAAGCCCCTCTGAAGCTCTGGCCATTACAGACTAACCACAGTGGCCATGATGATCATATATCAGCATGTGACAGACCAATGCTGGAGGTGATTCCAAGAGAACATGATGCTATTCACCCTGACATTAAGATAAAAATATTTTCGATAAAAATGTGTCTGGAACTAATTTGCCTAATGGTTGAAAGATAAAGCCACAGAGAGAGTAATGAGTCACACCCAGACCAATGTAATATTAATGACTGATTAAAAGGACAAACATTTCTGTTTCTACCCGTGCCCTCCGAAGGCTTGTAAGCTCGTTGACAACAGTGCAAAAATGAAGGACATGTTGTGTCTCAGACTGTTGCCACCTTTCAAGTATGTTTAGATCAATAATTGTCCAGTTTTGCCATTCTGCAGACCTCTGCAACAGAGACAGCCTCCCCTCTGAAACTCCCAATTCCACACTTGCAGTGACATTATCATCAGCTGAAGTGCACAGAGGCCCCAGCTCCTTTGTGCTAGACACTGTGCAAACATATAGCAAAGAGACAGTCCCCACCCCAAAGAGTTTAGGCCCAGATCTTTAAAGTTATATCGGTGCCTAAATCCCATTGATTTCAATGGGAGCTAAGCACCCAAATACCTTTGCGGATGTGGGTCTCAGTGTCAAAGTATCTATAGTGCTCAGTTCTGTGGCCCATCTCCCAAGTCTCCACCCTCTCTATCTGTTCTGAGGCTCCACGAACTATAACTTTAGACCCACTGAGCAAGAGCACTAGTGGAATGTTGGCAAGGTATCTCCATGCACACCCAAAGAGACTATGAAATACTTTATCTAATAGATTTCCTTAGTCTAGTATTTACTTTAGGCACCTAGGAAACTAAAGCTTTCAAATGTGCCTTCAGATTGAACAACAAACTGTACATTTTTAAATGATTACTGATAACTACATTTTAATATTTTGGTTGATTAAAAATAAGTAATAATGAAATGTAGTTTAGACTATTCAGGGATAGGTTCTGCTAGCCCTTCTCATGTTAAATAGCACCTTTCTCCAGGAATTGTTCCATTGAAGCCACTTGTGGAACAAGCTTCTATTCACATGAGTAAGGCTAGCAGTATCTGGCTCTTTGTTCCCTGTAATTATTACATGGGACAATCCATGGGACAATTAGTAAATGGACAAAATATACTGTACATACAACTTTCTTGCTTTACAGTATGATAAATGTTAAAGAAAACTGGAGTGGATAGTGGAGATACAATATGAAAAAACAAGGCTGTGCAGGGAGAGAAGGGGAAGAGAAAACAGGCCATTATGCTTCCCAAGCCTCTTAAAATAGGATTCATCTGTAAACCAATGATAGCGACTAATCAAGGGAAATCGTGGGATGAAGAGCAAATGTGATAACTCTAAAATCAACATCAGTGCCATGAGGCAGTAATAGTAAAATAACACTGTCAACTTAAATTTGGGCCAGTGTTTACATATTGTAAAAACAAGCTTTTATAAAATGTAGAAATGTTTTCATATTGAAAATATCCAATGAAAACAGTTGTTTTTAAACAAACCTTCTCCATCAGCATTTAAAGCCCCAAAACTGCAGCACTAAGAATCTGAAAGCAATACTAAAATGTCAACAAAGTGAAACTAACTTCATTGATTTTCAGTTGAAGCTGAGAGAAATACCAAAAAAACACAAAAACCACCAGTATAAATAGTGGCAGAAACACTGGATTTTTAACTCTTTCACCTTTTATAATCAAAGGTGTTATAGAGAAATAAATTTGTTTGCAGCATTAGGAGACAAGGTGGGTGAGGTAATATCTTTTATTGGATGAACTTCTGTTGGTGAGAGAGACAAGTTTTCAATTTACACAGAGCTCTTCCTCAGGTCTGGGAAAGGAACTCAGAGTCATAGCTAAATACAAGCTCAAACAGATAGTTTAGCATCAGTAGTTAGCACTTATTCTAAGGGACCATTCAAGGTGAAGTGGCCCATCATTTTAAGTCAGGGGTAGGCAACCTATGGCACATGTGCCAAAGGCGGCACGCAAGCTGATTTTCAGTGGCACTCACACTGCCCAGGTCCTGGCCACTGGTCTAAGGGGCTCTGCATTTTAATTTAATTTTAAATGAAGCTTCTTAAACATTTTAAAAACCTTATTTACTTTACATACAACAATAGTTTAGTTATATATTATAGACTTATAGAAAAAGACCTTCTAAAAAGGTTAAAATGTATTATTGGCACATGAAACCTTAAATTAGAGTGATTAAACGAGGACTCGGCACACCACTTCTGAAAGGTTGCCGACCTCTCTTTTAAATTGACACTGTCTCTCTAATAAAAGATGTGCATCCCTAACTGATTTTGCACCTACAAAGGTTTACTTAATTGGCACTTATGTTTCCCTCCTAAAATAGATGTTGCTTTCTGGCTTCCCGGTGTGAAATTAGCAAAGATACTTGGAAGTATTAGAACTCAGGTCCAAAAAAATGACCAGTGAAGTATAAGTGTTTCAGAATCTCTGTCAAGTACCCTATGGTACAAAGCAGGAGTCCCCACCATCTAAGTGCGCCCGCGTACTGGCCAGCATACGAGCATCCGCCAAAATACCGCCGACAAGCAACGTCATCCAGAGGCATCGCCACCGAAATGCCGCCGATTTTCGGCGGCAACGCCTGTGGATGCTGCTGCTTGTTGGCGGCATTTCGGCGGCGACGCCTACTGACGTTGCCGCTTGTCAGTGGCATTTCGGTGGATGCTCGTCCACTGCCACGGTCCTCCGTGGCTCGTCGTCTGGAGCCCGCCAGACGAAAAAGGTTGGGGACCACTGGTACAAAGCAAAGAAACCATCCACCACCTCCCCAACTGTGGTATCTGCCTAATTGCTTAGGCCTATGTAACATTCCAGCGCTACCCTGTTAGCTCTCCTGAATCTTGTGAAAGTTCTTTTGAGGAATGACTTACCTGCATAGGAGGAGACTGGGGAGATCTGCAGAGGGTACAGCTGACTCATGCTGAGGGGCTGCTCATCACACTCTGTTGTCACCTCTACTACTTGGCAAACATCAGGAGGATTGGCAACTATCACCTGCTCCTCAGTACTGCCATCAAGATGGGGCTGTCCTACAACTCCATAGGAGAAGGAAGAGATAGGTTATTGCAAGACTCCCTGATTTGTCAGACACATTGAACTGTTGCATTAGTGCTGGGGTGGACAAACTATGGCCCATGGGCTGGATCTGGCCCGTCAGCTGTTTTAAGCCGGCCCGCGAGCTCCCGCTGGGGAGTGGGGGTCTGGGGCTTGCCCCGCTCCAACGTTCCAACCAGGGAGCAGGGTTGAGGACCACTCCACGTGACTCCCATAAGCCGCAGCATAGCCGCGCTCTAGCACTCCAGCCAGGGCACAGGGTCAGGGGCCGCACCACACAGCTCCCAGCAGCTGCGGCATGGTCCTGCACCCCCCCCTCCCCCCCGGCTCCTACATGCTCCAATGGCCCCCTCCGGCGCTCCAATGGGAGCTGCAGGGGTGGTGTCTACAGACGGGGCAGCGTGCAGAGTGGCCAGGCTGCACCTCCGCATAGGAGACGGAGAAGGGACGTGCCACTGCTTCTGGGAGCCGCTTGAGGTAAGCGCTGCTTGGAGCCTTCACCCCCTGAGCCTCTCCCCACGCCCCAACCCCCTGCTCTGATCCCCCTCCCACCCACCAAACGCCTAGATCCCAGCCCAGAGCACCCTCCTGCACCTCAAACCCCTCATTTCTGGCCCCACCCCAGAGCCCGCACCCCCAGGCAGAGCCCTCACCCCCTCCTGCACCCCAACCCCAATTTTGGAGCATTCATGGCCCACCATACAATTTCTATTCCCAGATGTGGCCCTCGGGCCAAAAAGTTTGCCCACCCCTGCGTTAATAGCTAAATTGTGGTCTTCTCACTCCATGCCTGACTGTTTCTAGCAAGGCTTCTAAGGAAATTTTGGTTAATGTTTTCAGTCTCTAACACCTTCAAAGCTGCCTCCTTCCTTTCCAGTTGCCACCACTGGAAATGCTTAAGCAGATCAGTAAGTACGGCTCCCAGCCAGAGGTAGCCCACAGTTCCACAATGCAGCCTGTAGCTATGCTAATCTTTAAAACAGAAATGAGGCCTTACCAGAGTATACAGGGCTCCATCTTTATCAGAACATTACTTGCTAGAATCAGTGATTACTGTAGGCTACACTTCTCATAGACTCATAGACTTTAAGGTCAGAAGGGACCATTATGGTCATCTAGTCTGACCTCCCGCATGATGCAGGCCACAAAAGCTGACCCACCCACTTTCCCTTAACTCAGCTGTTGAAGTCTCCAGATCGTGATTTAAAGACTTCAAGTCGCAGAGAATCCTCCAGCTTGCGACCCCTGCCCCATGCTGCGGAGGAAGGCGAAAAACCTCCAGGGCCTCTGCCAATCTACCCTGGAGGAAAATTCCTTCCCGACCCCAAATATGGCGGTCAGTAGAACCCCGAGCATACAGGCAAGATTCTCCAGCCGGACCCTCATTTTACCAGCGATGGCACGTTATTGCCTAATTGACTAAAATCACGTTATCCCATCAAACCATTCCCTCCATAAACTTATCTAGCCTAATCTTGAATTAACTTCTGTATTAATGGTGATGGGTAACTGCAATACATCCCTCTTAATGTACGTCAGATGCAGCGCCTGGCAAGTTGCCAATGCTTTGTGGACTTTGGATGCCCTGATACACATCAGGTACTGTAAGGCACAGTGGTTCAAAACTCATTTACAGACAGTGGCCCAAATTAATCCCTGGGTAATTCTACTGACTTCAGTGGTTTTAAACAGGGAATGAATCTGGCCGAGTTTCTCCTAGAGACAGGCATGAAGCAGGGACTTCTTGCCATCCCCTGCAATACCAGCTACCATATGTAAAAAGCAATGTTGAGCTGTTAACCTCTAAGCACCAGGGTCTGTGACTGAAATGTATTTCATGATCTCTGCACTGCAATTTGGTTAAATATTAACAAAGGAGTTTCCCACTTCGGCAGGTAAATGCTACTCCACACTTTGGTTAGAAAAAGCTCCATTTTTTTTCTCTACAAAGTTGAGGCAGCCTGTAATATTCTGCAAGTTCTTCATCCAAGGATCCCAAAACACTTTACAGACATTAGGTAAGCCACACAACACAGCTGTGAGACAACTTAATATTTTTACACCTGTTTTACAGATGAGTAAACTAAGGCACCCAGAGGTTAACTGACAGTGAAACAAAGGTAAAAGCCAGGAAGAAAACCCTGAACTTCCAGTCATGTGTTCAACCCACAGACAGACAAATACTTCCTCCTTGTTCAACTTCTTTATCTCAACAATATAATCATAAAACAATTACACTAATAAAATGCATTCTCTGTCTAGTAAATGGAGGGGGCATTATATTATAGAGAGCATATCCGCAGTATGTGGTCTGCTCCCCGCTACACTAGGAAAGGTTTTTAAAATTAACAGGGATTCCAGCACTGATGTGAAATACATTTGCTAAGCAGAAGTTGTACACAAATATAAATCTAAAATAACCAGCAGGTGATAAAAAGCTCAGGGTTAGACCTAGTCTCGTGAGTGTTCCTCAGAATTCACAATAATCAAAGTCAAAAGAGAAAATTATGTTCTACTTTCATTTGAACATAGCGGGTCAAAACTCCTTACTCAGGCAAAAGTCTCCTGGATTTCAATGGGAGTTTTGTGGGAATGTGCGCTGCGGGATTTGGTTCAGAGTGATATACTGCTAGACTGAAGGATATAAAATGATGGATGGCTTTGCCTATTTTAAGGAATAGGAATTGCCATACTGGATCGGATCAACAGTTCATGTAGTCTGAATTTTGTCTCTGACAATGGCCAATATCGGATGCTTCAAAACAAGCTAAAAAGTAACCATAACACATGTAGAAAATTACACAATATTGTAACAGGAGGGATGCAGGGGAGACATTTTTTCTAGCCCCAAACTGGCGCCAAGATTATACATTGATGTATGACAGATTTAGTAATTCTTCTCAGAGGTGACATAACTGCAGATGCTATTCTTATTAACAAAAGTGTTAAACAAGAAAAAAGAAAGAAGCATTTTTTCCCCAGTTAAAATAATTGCATATAATTTTGTTCTGTAAAATGACAAGTAGCTAAACTGGAAACCTCCCCAAACCAGTATTTTATGAAGCAATCCCAGCAAACATAACTTTAAACAGACATTGACTAGGCTCTTTAAAAGGAGCCTGATTTAGAATTCCTACCACTTTGCTCCAGATACTTATTTCCACTGTAAACAACATTCCTCCTGGTTCTGCAGCAAGCTCTCAATAAGAGCAGAGAGGGGGAAAAAGCATCCCATGTTCATTATCAGTGTGAAAGCGCTGTATTGTGCAATGCTGTCTTATTAAGAACACTCTGCCTTGATGGCCTTATCTTTCTCTTCAGTACCTGGAGAATTCTTACCCAACCCCGAGAGATAAATTCAGCGCTCATCAGCAAAAATACTGGTAGCTTGGACAAAATGCCATGGGCTTAGCCTCAGCTGCACCATCGCCCTCTTTCCCTTCCCCTCCCCAGCACACACAGGATGAATCTATTCTGCCTCTCTCTCTCTCTTTTTTTTTTTTTTTTTTTTGCTGTTTGTGTTGAAAAACTCCTTGGAGTAGTAAATAAGGGATTTCCCTGTCTGCTGCCTATCTGAACTACACAGCCTAGATAATTAAACTAGAAAGCACACTCACACAAACAGGATGCTCTCAATTATAGACCAAATCCCAAATGCTTTATTCGTGAAATAAAGATTACTCACATGAGTGAAGGGAGCAGGATTTGGCCCTAGGTATTCCTGCTATGAATGATGTATACCTGGCAACAATGGCAAAAATAAAGCCCTACAACATTTGGATTCGCTTCTGTTTGCCAGAGTAAAAAACGGTAATTCACCTTTGTAACTGTTGTTCTTCGAGATGTGTTGCTCATATCCATTCCAATTAGGCACACGTACACCTAATTGGAATCGATATGAGCAAGCACTCGAAGAAGAACTTTCCTTATTTTTATTATGGCACATAGACCAGACTGATAAATATTAGTGTCATCTACTAGCCTTTTCCTATGAACTACTGAGAACCTCTTATCAATGCAGTGTGCATTTAACTTCCAGTGAAGTTAAATGGAAGTTGAAAGCACTCAGTACCTCCCAGAATTGAGTTCTATAAACCTAGTCCAAATCCATAGTCCATTGAAGTCAGTCTTTCTTTTGACTTAATTGGAATCAGGCTCAATATGCCCCCAAAAGGGTTTAAATTGTCCATTGTTTGACTTATAGTTTTCTAAATAAAGCAAAAATGTATAAAGTTTCTTCCCACTGGCTCCACATCAACCTTTGGGTATTTTAGATTTCAATTTTGCACTTGGGTCTGATTTACTTGGGAAAAATGTTTCACTACAGTGCTGGAATTCCTCCAAGGCTAATTTTAAGACCCTCTGTAATAGAAGGAGTAGAAATCTAAACATGCTCACAAAAACACAGTGCAATTAAATGTGCTGCTCCCAGGAGAGCAGAAGCACCCATAAATTTTCCATCCAGAAAAGTCTCTCAGTGAAAAAGCCTACAACTTAGCCTGCAAAATAAACGTGACAAAAAACAAGTCATTGCAACTAAAACCTATCATCTTTGCAAAGAGAACGTTAATGTATTTTCAAACACTTCACTTTGTACAGAAAAAAAGACATTCTAGGCCAAGTGGTGATTGGATTTCATTTCACTCTAACAATAACTACAGCCAAAGAGCTGTCAAAACATAACGCAACTTACATTGCTAAGAACCAATTATTCACATTTTACTCTGTCAGCTAACTCCTAACGCACCAGTTTTAAATGCAGTTTTCATTTCATCTTCGCTGTTGACATTTTGATGTTAACAGCACATTCCGTTACTGAAGTGCTGGTTAAAATAATCTGGGTCACATGACATTTAACCCTTTAATATATATTTTTAAATTACCACCAAAATGGCAACCCGTCAAAAGCCATTCAAGCCATCTTGGAATCATGAGAACTCTTTCAACTTCTATGCCCCAATGTTACTACTCACCGTGCACTGGATAAAATATCAACTTGGCTGTGGAACGCTGTATGTGGTTCTCTCTGGAGTTGGTTAATGTCAGGAAGGGTCACCAAAGTGATGAGAAATACCTTTTTCCCCCTCAGAAGATGAGCTTGTTGCTCCCAACCCCTGCTAGCCTTGGAGCAAGAGATTGAGCTAGAGACCTGAACTCACATTCTGGGTTTGTGGCAAACCTTTAGATCACAAACCTGGTCCTGTGAAGCATGTTTTATAACTTTGGCATACTCCAAAATGTAAAATACTGTTGCTAGAGTCAGCTTCATGCAGTCATATGTGCTATTCTGATACCATCTATGTCATGAACTGGAGTTTAAAGTCTAAAGACACATGCATACTGGTTTACTACTTGTGAGAAGTACGCACTGGAAGCACTTACCTACAATATTCACAGTACTGTCAACTTCACTTTTTATAGTAGAGGGTAGGAAGTAGTCAGAAGAGACCTCAGTTATTCCATTAGTCACTGCAAAAGATGACTCAACTGGTTCTTGCTAGAATGAAAACAGTGGAGTTGTGTCAGATTTAGTTTTGGTTTATTTTAGGAACCTTGACTTTATTCCCTATTCATCTCTTTGTGCCAAGATCACAACATAGCAAATCAGTTTCTGCCAGACACATACCCACTGCTCCCAGGTAGAAGCAGGATGAAGATCAATACTTACGTTCTCCAAAAGGAGGCCAGAGATAACTACATTTCCATGCCTTCTCCATTTAAATTGAAGTTAAAAGTCACTCTTTACATTGACAGCGAGCCTCCAAAGAACAAATCAATTAATAAACTATTTGTTATAAAAGATTAACATTGGGGGTAATGAGGCTGACACACTGCCTTAAAACAGCATTTTATTAAATATTCATCCTCAGTGCTTTCCAAACATACTGCAGCACTGAATTCTTTCTGAAAGAACGCCTGAGGTGTCTGTACAGTAATTACTAAATTCTATCCTTAATTTTTCTCTATCACAAGAGTCCAAAACAAAACAAAGCATTTATACTAAATCAAACCTTCTAGATCTCGTCATAGCTGTTGCCATAGGGCAATTCTGTTGGGAAAACAACAACCCCTGTTCTATACACAATATACCTCTATGCATTTGCTGCGTGTCAGCTGGGGAATCTATGTAACTCTCTTTTGAATATACTGTAGAAGTTATTACAAAAACTTGGGAGTTCTTTAACAGACCACCATCATTTTTTTAAAACAAGGGATTAACTGCAAGATCAGCCCTCCTCCCTGCTGGATGCCTGACAAGGCCTATAAATCATACAAGATATAATTTGATTTGGGACTGACAATGCCAGGATTAATAGTAAGGGCCTGATTCAATTTTGCCCTGAAACTTGTGTGATCATTTACATCTGAGCAAACTGCGTGCAAAGTAGGTGTAACATGATACCATTCAGATCTGGTAGTGTTTTATACTTACTTTGCATGGGTATAAAAGAACACGCAAGGTGTAGGGCAAAGGTGAACTGGGCTTCAAGTTTTCTGTTCCCAGCCCATCACTCTGTAAATCCAATAAACTCTGTGATCATGGTGTCAGAGAGACTGTAGGGACAGTGTGATGTCCCTTTTCTAATGAGCTTGCTCTAACTGGATAGTTTTTGGCAGTCATAGCTGCAGTGCTACCAACCAAGTAGTTACCATTTTTGGTCCTGATTCTTGTTTACACCTTTCTGACTTTACAATGGCCTTAAAGTGAGTGACAATATAATTCAGTCCCATCTGAAGGGCCCTTTACTCTGCCAGAGCTGTATAAAATGCCCTTAGCATAAATGAGAATCAGGCCCTTTATATGTGATGTCAGTTGTGTGAGTCCCATAAATCAAAGCATCAGTGTCTTCAGTCCACTACTGGAAAGGATGAATTCTGATAACTTTCACTGGTCCTTCATAAAGGATCCATGGACAGCAAAGAAAAATTAGGACTACAAAAAGTTCTAGGTTACTTGGGCCATGACTCTCTTCTGACATGGACTGGTTTAATACCAGAAAGACTCCACTGAACTCAGTGAAGTTACTCCTAATTTAAATGAGTGTGAGAAGAGAATCAGGCCTTTGGTCTATGCACACGCACACACACAGGAACTGTGGAGAAGATGAAGCATATGGGGCTGTTACCTGGGGATATATGTTATTATGAGGCAAATGTTTTTACTTATATAATGTATATAACATGTACTACTTGTACTCAGACCGTCTCAAAGCTTGGCTACCTTGTTGTAAACTGTATAAATCTCTCTAAATGGATAACTTACTATGTGTGCATGTGAGAACATGCACTGGTAGGTTATAATCTATTGGTCTTGGGAAGGTTTCCAGTGGGGTGTTTCCCTGTTACAGTTCCCATACGCTATACCTGATAAGCTATGAAACAAGTTATAAAACCACCATTTATTCTTACTACAGCAGGGCTGCGGCTGCTCCTACTGAAATCAATGGGAAAATTCTCATTGTTTTCACTGTGGGCAGGACAGGGCCTACTGTCTGAAAACCGAGTCAGATGGACACAAGCAGGATGAATTCACAGCAAGAGCTAAAGATCAGAATGGTCCCAAATTATCTGGGGACATGCACCAATTTTTTGTGATTTTTTTAAAATCAGAATTGATTGTGGAAATTAAAGTGAAAAACAAATTTTCTCTTGTTAGCAGTGGATGCTGAATAAAGTACCATAAATTGAAAAATGCTAAATAGGAAGAGTCTAAAAGATAGAGACAAATCCATCCCTACTGTAAATCGGGAAGTAAATGGTGCTATAATGGGGATTAATTTGTCCCATTGTTGTTCAAATACATTAAAGAGCTTTTTAAAATTGATGTGACAGATATGGCAATTTCCTGAAATATCCTTGAAAACCCTTATTGAATTAATTATCTTTGGAGTCCACTGTATTAAATGCAAAGGTTCTGTATTATTGTGGGCTTGGATGATCAGACTACTATATTGAACAATATGGCAGACAAAAATGATCTTTTGGGACAATACATGTAAAGTGGAGTTCCTGGGAAATAGCTAGAGGGAGGTGAATGCAAATTCCTTCCCCCTACTTATGCAAAAACCCAGCTTTCTAAAGCTACGTGCTCAGGAAGGGATCATGGTCTCCTGTTCTCAGAATCTGACGATCAAAGGCCACACTATATATAAAGAAACAGGCTAATTTGCCCAGTGTCAGTGTGCTTGTTCTGAGCTAAAGTAGATATGAACTTGTAACCACAGAAAAAAAATCCTTGGTGGGGTTTGTAGGACTGACTCCTACCAAAGCCCTGCTGAAGAGAAAGGGGTGATCTCTGGTAAACTTATTAGCATGTGTATAGGCTCTTTTATTGTTTTAATATGATTTTTTCTTTAATACTTCCACCTTAAGAATAAATGTAACCTGCTTAGAAAGGACTGCGTGGTAACTTAAAACTGTGGGCAATTACTTGGTCATAACCTCTGGAGACAGAGCAAAACACAGACACTGGCCTGTTTAGGCAGTCTAGCTTGCTTGGGATATCACAGTGTAGGCAGGGAAATGTGCAGCCTAGAAAACCCTCGGTCAGGAGGGAGAGAGACACAAGTCTCCACCCAGGATAGGTGATAGCTGGGAGCCAGAAGCCTAGAATGGGTGCCCTTGGTGGACCATGGAGGGGAAATACAGGTGCAGTTGCCCTGAACTGTGACAATTCCTCTCTCTCTCTGCCTTAAATTCTGCCTCCACTCAGCAAAAACTGATCCAAGCCAAAATCTTCAGAACAAACTGTGCAAGTGGTTACTATAAAAGTGGTACTTTTCTGCCATCGCAGATGCTTTTCTGCCTATCATGTGTCTGTAAAAGTTAGGCAGTAGTTTTCCAATGGGACCCTAACATTGCAGCCACAAAACAAACATTTGCATGTTTGTACAATGCCTAGCATAAGGGGGCTACCAATATTGGGCACCAGTGTACTATCAATATTAATACTAATAATCAGCAATAGATAACACTGAAGTTAGGCCCAGATTCTTGGCCCTGACTAAGTCCACTTTGCACTGCACCAGCACCTCATTGGTACAAAAAGGATCTTAAAGTTACTTTAAGGAAGCAGCTGCAGATTTTCAGCAGGGGTTTGTCAGGGGCAGGGATAGGAGGGGCATGATGGGGGCAGGAAGGGAGCACACTGTGTCCCAGCTGGTACTTAGTCAGTGGAGCAATCCCTATGGGAATGCAGCAGACAGTGTAACTTGAAGCAGACTGAATTAGGTTGCTCTAAGTTACACGATGGGCTGTTTCAGCCTTTGGCACCGTAGAACTGCAGAGACAGAAGGTGTCAGAGCTGGGGATCTAGGGCCGGCTGCTCAAAAGGAATTAGGCATCTATGTCCCAATTTTGGCTCCACTGTGAGGCACAAGACTCCTGCCTAACCCCTGTAGATACCTAAACACACTCAATGCCTACATTTTCAGGGTAAAAATTCCCTCGAACCAATGTCTCTGCCTTTGGGCATTCGCACTGCTGGTTCACCTTAGGTGTCTGGATGCCTACTTCCCACTTGAGCCCCAGAGCGACTCAAACCAGGAGATACAGAGGTGTTGGGATGCTTAAGTTGCATGTGGGAGCTGACCGGTAAGCATACTCAGAGGCTGCCTTCCAGATCAGGTCCCAACCAAAGCCCACTTGGAGGAAGAGCCCCATGGTTAGAGCAGTTACCTGGGATGCAGGAGACCCAGGTTCAATTTCCCGCTCACACAGAGAGGAAGAGGGAGGATTTGAACAGGGGTCTCTTACCTCTCGGGAGAGTGCTCTAGCCACCACACTATGGGATGTTCTGATGGGGAGCTCGCTGAGTCTCTCCTGATGAAGCTGTTCCAGTGTGGAAAAATAATGAAACTGTGATTGGAGCTGGGAGCCCAATCTTGCTGGCCCAATGACTATTTAAATATTTATCCACAGTCATGGGGGGGAGAAGAGAGAGAATGGCTTTACAGTCCAGTGGTTAGGGCACTCACCTGGGACATGGGAGACCCTGGGTCCAGCACCCCTGCTCCAATTTCTCTTTCACTGTTTTCCACAGTGGGACAGATTCAGCAGGAGAGACTGAGGGAGCCCCCACATCAGAATATTCTTCTGAGAGGTAGGAGACCCCTGTTCAATTCCTCTCTCCCCCTCTGCCTGAGAGAGGAAATGAACCTGGGTTTCCCACATTCCAGATGAGCGCTTTACCATAGGGCCAAAAGTTATAAAGTGAGCAACAGCAACAGAGATCAGCACCTCCTTGCATCTTTGTGCACCTATCTCTGTAAGAGGGGCAGCGCTTAGTATTCAGTTCTCTTGTCAGCTTCTCCCATTGTCTAGCTTAGGTGTCTCCCTGCCTCACATACTGGCTTTTGAGAATATCATTCTAAGGTGCTATCTCTTCCTATTCATTGTATAGGGAATCTAGATGTCTAACTCAGGCTTTGCAAATTGCAGCATTGTCCCTGTGATTTTCTGAGCATCTAAAAGTTATGCACTGTGTCACAACACCTAACTCCTTTTGAGCACTCAGCTTCCAGTCCTTAGTCTTCTCCGTCTGTAAAGTATAGACCACGGGATTATTTCAGGCACTTTAACAGACATGTCATGGAAAAGTTTCCCAGTAATCTTCATGAGAATGAAACACTGTTTTAAAGGTGAAGTGCAAAGCTTTCGTTTAAAATAAAATAAAAATAAATAAAGAATCCAAATCATCAACAAAACACCTTTGTAGACTTGAAAATTGTAAGTGTGTTTCAATTTTCAAACAACATATTTGTAAATTAGTTCATCCTTTACCTATGTGGCAGTGTCTGAATTAAGGATCAGTATTACTTCTGCAATAATTGATGGCATTCTAATAGTTGTTGAGTACAGAGACTGCAATCATTTTAAAACATAAACAATCTAAAATCGGCACATGCACAGTTATTGAAATAAACCAGAATACTCTGGGATAGCATCCTGGCTCCAGCTCATAGGGGCTGGTGAGTTCTAAGCTCATTGGTGTATGGGAGAGTGGGCTGGAAGCACGGACAAACAGCTTACATGTTCCAGTGTTACAGGATATAATATCCGGAAGATGCTGCTCCCAACACTTGGGGCCTACTCTTACGAACACTTATTACCAGGCATAATGCCATGAGTAATAATCCCACTGACTTCACTTGAAGTACTCTGGTAATGAGTGCTCAGAGGACTGGACCCATCTGAGTAGGTATGGGTAGAGAATTGTTTCTCTGCTGGCAATTTGGATCCCTCTGGCTGCTAATTATGATTGGCACTTACATTAAAATGAATACTGGTGGCTATGTAATCTGGATACCAGGGTTAAATAGTGTTGTCTTAAAACAATCTTAAACTCAATAAAAATACAATAAAGTAATATCTTGAAATATTAAGTATACTTATGTATTAAATGAGACAAATGCCAGCACAAGTTTTGTTTGCCAGCTCCTTCCATTGAAAGCCATAGTCCAACTGTGGAGAATTTGATTCTGTGATGCATCAGGAGAATTTTTCCCTGAATTCAGTTTTAACAAGGGTGCATTTCAAAAAGGGTCTTTGAGTTCACAATGCATAAAATCCTTTCCATGTCCTTAAGGGGGGCCATGGCATGCAGAGCCTACTAAGTGGAATAGCTCACACATATATAAGAACTACAGTTTCTTCTCAAAAATTTCAATTTAATTAGGAGAAATATAAGGCCAGACCCTTCAGTACATACTCAGGCAGAATTCCCACTGACTTCACAACAGCTGGCGCTAAATTCTCCTCTGGTGTAAGCAGACGAAATTACCACTGACCCCAGGGACAGCTGAACCTGCTAATGTCAGGACTGAATTTGGTCTCTCTTTAATAGGGAGTGGCAGGGAAGTCAGGGGTGGCTCATTGCTGCACAGTGCTACAACTCATACACTACAAAGGAGCTGTTATTGTGGCCACAGATTTCAATGACAGCTTTGCCAGAGAAAAGGTTGCAGGATTTGCCCCATGTTCTGCTAATGATTTGAGACGGTAAACTTTGTTTTCAGTTGTTTTTTCTGAACAAGATTTCGGATTTATTTCTGGCTTACAGCCCAGTCCTGCTAACATTTACTCTGGAGCATGCGTCAGAGTCTCTCTAATGACTTCAATGGAACTACTCCAGCTAGGAAGCACAACACTTGCTAGTGAGGATTGGCAAGTTCAGGCCCATAGTATGTTTTGGCAGGAGCTCTGCGCTCAGTTCCAGGATGTGCAAAGGAGTCATGAACACAGACTGCAACCCTATTAGAGCTACCGTTCTTACCTAAATACAAACTCATTTCCAACACAACAGCAACACAAATTAATTACATAGGGTATTGTTGTTGCCTAGGACCATTCCCTACATAGTTATTTTATTTCTAACAACACAAATGTACATTTGCTAAATATATCCACAAGCTGACTGTTTTCCAATATCCAGCTGCAACACAAAAGCTAGTGCTACTCTGATCACATCAGCCACAGTTGCAACAAGCTTCATGTTAAAGAAATGCAATGTGTGCCATTCTAAAGACGTTAGGCGAGAAATCACAGGCAAAGAAAGATGGCAGAATGGACTACAAGTAGCTCGGATATTATTTTAGAGTGGGTATAAGAAAAGTTATAACAGAATAACTGACACAAGCTAGGGTGTCACTCATTGTGAAACAGCTAACTCTTACCTTTATTTGTTTGGATTTGTCATCCTTCTCAGTCTTTGGTTTCTTTCCTGGAGCAATGGAAGGAAGGAAGTTTTGTTACAACCAATTGTGAGATGAACAACTAATCAACCCCCACCTACCCCTTGGCAGGAAAAAAAAAATACTAACTAGGAAATATCACGAGGTGCCTCAAAACATCAGGATCTGGTAGGGATGGGAGGACTCATTATGCTTAATTTTGAACATACTTCAGCACTGAGGGGCCAAAAAGTTCAGTTTCAATATTTTGGGTACATAGTCTGCTTGGAAAAGACTGTAAAAAAGAAGCATTGATGGGGCAGAGAGGGGGAAAAAAATCCAGTGGAAAAACGGGGGAAATGGAACACAGAGGACAGATTGAAAAACAGGGACTGAAAAAAGGAGCAGAGGGGGAGAAAGCACACTCCTAATTAAAAATAAACACAGTCTATGCAGTACACCATACACAGATCGCCCACACATTCAGCCTAGCTTGTAGGCAGGAGGCATTAAATGGTCCCAGGGTGCTGGAACAATTTGTACAGTGGGGGTGCTGAGAGCCATTGAACCAAATTGTAAACCCTGTATGTGATGGAAACCACTTCAAGCCAGGGGGTGCTGCAGCAGCACCCCCAGCATCCCTAATTCCAGCACCCATGATTGGCCTTTTTTCCCCCTGATATGTAGTACAAGGGTCCCTTTAGTTAGAAAAACATGTTTGTTTGAATGTAATCACACTTGGAAAAAAACACATGGATTTCAATTAGAATGAGAATGGTTTGTGAAATCACACTTGTTTTGAGAATCCAAATAGATTACCATATTCACAAAACCTTGAACTCTATGAGATTCAGCCATCCCTTGTACTGGGACATTGAGTGTCACTGTGAATTAAAAATCCTTGCAGCCAATTTCTTTTGCCCTTATTTGTGCCTCAATTTATTTAAGAGACAGAGCAGGAAGGTGGCAACACATTATGCAATTACAGACAAGACCCTGTGTATTCCAGAATCAGCTCTGCGCTCCAGAAACTCAGCTGTCATTTTGAAGACAAGTTATGTTTCTAGCCTTTATGGCTATGAAGAGAACCTTACAAATTTGAATGGAGTGTAACTCAGTGCAACAAGGTATGCCAGAGTCTATAAAATGCATCATAGGCGGATGACACCCAGTAACTTTAAAACCAATTATTTGCTGTGCCCAATCTGCCATACATAGCTCAGTCTAGTCCTTCCCCTGTAAGTGCCAGGTTCCCTGTCTTTCTCCTCCAGTCACACTCACCTTACCAAGTATAGCATCACCTCAGCCACTCCTTGCCTTTCAACCACCACTGGGTGTGTTTGGCTGCAGGTAGCATGAGGAATGGAAAAAGGGGGAGGGCTTGTGCTTGATAGTAAGTGGAAGGAGTGTTTGGTGTGGGAATCTCTGATTGGGTGGAGAAGAAGAGAGAGGGACCTGGGGATTACAGCAGAGGAGAAGCTGGATATGAGTCAGCAGTGTGCCCTCCTTGCCAAGAAGGCCAACGACATATTGGGCTGTATTAGTAGGAACATTGCCAGCAGATAAAGGGAAGTGATTATTCCCCTCTATTTGGCACTGGAGTATTGTGTCCAGTTTTGGTCCCCCCACTACAGAAGGGATGTGGACAAATTGGAGAGAGTCCAGCGGAGGGAAATGAAAATGATTAGGGGGCTGGGGCACATGACTTACGAGGAGAGGCTGAGGGAACTGCGGTTATTTAGTCTGGAGAAGAGAAGTGTGGGGGGGATTTAATAGCAGCCTTCAACTACCTGAAGCGGGGTTCCAAAGAGGATGGAGCTAGGCTGTTCTCAGTGGTGGCAGATGACAGAACAAGAAGCAATGGTCTCTAGTTGCAGTGGGGGAGGTCTAGGTTGAATATTAGGATACACTATTTCACTAAGAGGTTGGTGAAGCACTGGAATGGGCTACCTAGGGAGGTGGTGGAATCTCCATCCTTAGAGGTTTTTAAGGCCCAGCTTGACAAAGCCCTGGCTGGGATGATTTAGTTGGGGTTAGTCCTGCTTTGAGCAGGGGGTTGGACTAGATGACCTCCTGAAGTCTCTTCCAACCCTAATCTTCTATGATTCTAGGGGCAGAGTGGCCAACAGGAGCTGTAAATGCCTAGTGGCAGAGAAGAGTAGAGGACTCAGGCAGGGAACCTGCCATCTGGGGCAGGAACTGGTCTGAACGGTGTAGGATATGAAGCAGACTGCAGAGGAGCACTAGGTCTAGGGAGTGTATTTTCTGTTTTCTTTGAGACTCCTAGCCACTATCTATTTATGAAGAAAACAGAACTAAAAAAAACAACACAGAAAAAGGTGTGTCCACACAGACCCTAGCTAATTTACAGTCTGGATGTACCATATTTTTGCCACCGAATCCAACCAAGAGTGGGTTTTTTCCTAACCTAATTAGCCAGCAGGCAGCAAGATGTCTGCCTCCTAATTCTGAATGAGTTCTGTTAACTATAATCATATCCACTATTTCCCTAATCTCCTTCCATGAAAGGAGGATACCCTGATCAGACAGAAATCTCCCAGAAGGCCTAAAGAGAGGGCGGAGATGCCTCTATGCTATCGTCTCCCCTGTGGACACTCTATGGAGATTGGGCTATGGGAGGCTTTAGAAGGTGGAACCATGGGTGAGAAGGCGGCGCCATTCTCCATGGCTTTCCCATGTCCTATAAGGTGGTAGATACCTGTGCCTAAGTTAATGTTTCTTGAATAATCCACATCTGCACCTCTTTCAGAAAAAGTTTTTTTGTACAGGCAAAGGGGGGGAGCAGGGGTGGAGGGAAGGATCTGCTACAAAGCACAGATCTCCAACCTATGCATGTATACCTGTTCCAGTGCTAAGTGTCACCCAGTAGGACACTTAGTCAGACACTTCATAGGATGGGGGGAAATGTCAATTTGTTTCTCTTTGGGAGTAGAAATGAAATGATTGTAACATTGTAGAAGTAGATTGGTTTTTCCCTTTAAAATGTAGCAAAAAATCAGAACTTCCATGTCCCATCTTGACCATAACGGTTTCCTTTTTGCTCCAAATATGAAACAGACTAGATATCTGGGGTCAGAGCCGCAGCTGCTAATCGATATGGCTCCATTGTCTTCAATGAAGCTAAACCAATTTATACCAGACACTTGATCTTCAGACATCACATCCTGTGTATCCTCTCTCTTTCAAAAAAAAGTATATTATCCCTTTAAATGAATGCAGTCTGTCTATTGTTCATGGAAATATTTTGTATAAATACATGTGACTTCATAGAAGCCAAGGTACAACAGCCATATTTTGCAGGTCTCAGATACTGGAGTAGAAGTCTCCATCATCAAATTAAGATCCAGCTAGGTACCTAACACTGATTTCATGTTCATGGGTCCCTTCGTCTACCTTTTTTGGAAGGCCTTTCGGATACGGGTAGCATCCTGTAAACCCTGAAGGCATTGTTTCCTTTCTTTATACTTTTGTCTTTGACTTCTTCTATATCAGGCAAGGAGTTCATAGCGCATCGGAAGTTTGCCTTCCATGTCTTTGGATCAGGTTTATCTACTCCTGGTTGAAATTTTCCTAACAAGCAAGAAAATAAAGAAAGTTAGGTACATATTAAACATTTTTTCAAAGCCCAGGGAGAGCTAGTAGCACCATGAGTTAGTGTCAGTGCACTCCTTTTGATTCTGGAGACACAAGTTCAAACCACAGTTTAGGTTACAAGAGAAGGCTCATTTGGTGATCTCATTTTCATGCACATCTCTAGACTATATGATTGACAGCTTCTTCTCAAGAAAGGCCCCGAGCTGGAATAGTATGGGTGTTGCAAATCAGATGCAATGCTAGAGTAGTGCGAGTAAGCTTTTACAGCACTTACCTTTATTATGCCTGGTTCAAACCTGTATTAAAATTTAAGAGCATAAGAGCTGCTGAGCCGTCTCTACTCCCATTGATTTTGAACCAATTTTGTTTCCATTTCGGTCAATGAAGTTTCACTGTTGTCTTCAATGGAAGCAAGTTACGGCCCTTCAATAAAGTTAGGAGAGTACCAAGGATGTCGCAAGAGGTACTCAGCATCTCACAGATTCAGGTCCCTAAATTCATTCACCGCATTTGAAAAGCGAACAAAATTAAAGGGAAAATCTCCGGGAGAAACACAAAGGCAAACAAAATCTGGTCCGCAGAAATGAGAGTTCCAGTACCTGTGTGAATTGCCCAGTTTCTAAATAAAGGAGCATCTTTTTCAACATCCCACCCATGTCGTGCAGCGTGCATCCAGGGAATCTGAAAAATCTTCTTCTCCTGGAAAGAAAAACAAACACTGATTGACTCACAGATTTTCTGAGGACTTTAATCCACTCATTTAAAAACACATCTACAGTTCCAGCATCTGCAAGTGTTTTGTTTCATTTGCTCTCTTATGGTTCAATCCTGCTATTGCTGAAGTCATTGGCAAAACATCCACTGGCATCAGAGGGAGCAGGATAGAGCCCTAAATCTGTGAAACCTTCAGATGCCCCTTTATTAGGGTGACCAGACAGCAATTGTGAAAAAATGGGATGGGGGTGGGGGGTAATAGGCGCCTATATAAGAAAAAGTCCCCAAAAACGGGACTGTCCCTTTAAAAAGGGACATCTGGTCACCCTACCCTTTATGGACTAAAAATTGGGCAGGTTTCCAAGATGACACATGTATATCACATGCTGCACCACACATTTATAAATATTCAAATCAAGGCACTTTTGGCAGTGCAGAATTTTTTCTTTTTACGATTAGAAATTTGTAGGAGGGTGAGGGGCTTAAAATTTAGCCTATGAGGCACCAGCACAGTAGGAGATGATGACATCTACAATTGGGTGAGGCAAGCAAATCAGACACAATAACACAGTGAAATGTACAAGACTCCTTCACAGCAGGAATCAAAGGTCATTAAGGAAGCAGGATGCAAAAGGGGAGGGACTAAGGATCATTTTAGTATCTCAGTATAGAACAGAAGAATGTACTCTTTCTTTACTGCTCTGAAGGTTACATCTAAGAACATTGTGATCAATGCATTATATACATTTCTATGAAATAATCTAAAAATTAACAAACTGTAGCTCGTGTGTGGTCTTCTCTTCTTCCTTCAGCGCCACTTTTTTTCCTTCTCTATCTGTCTCTCCTCCTAGTCTACGTCCCATATGTATTCTCTCTCACACGAATATCTCTATAAAAGTAAAGTTTTACTTTTTTTCTTTTCTCATCTCTCAATGATATTTTCTTTTTCTGATTCTGCCTTTTACTTCAGCTTCTGATTCCATTCAAACTTTTCTCTCTCTTGTTTGTTAGGATCATATAGTTATGTTCATTTTTATTCTTCTAATCTCATTTTTTTCTCTCTTCCCTTTAATTTGGTAAAAGCAGAAGTTTGACATGTGATGTCCATTTCTCGCTCTCATCATTCTTCCCACTCATTCTCTATACATAGGCCATGTTCTTTCATTTATTCCCTTTGCCTCCCTATTTTCTCCCTGAAAAATTTATTCCCTGAAAAACAGTGATCAGTCTGAAAAGAAGCTCTCCTCCTTCCACAGCTATAACTGATCATATCTAAGGTGAAAGCTCTTTGCCCACCCCTGCTGTGCTCGGGTCCAAAGCATCACTGCATCCAAACCCAGCAAGGACAGGCCCAAAGCTTTAATGCCTGTCAGCACTATCTGTGCTCCCAACCAGCACCATCCTGGTAGGAAGCACAAACAGCACTGCAATGCAAGACACAGCATTAATGGTTCAAGTCAATGATTTAGCAATCCCTAGCTCCAGCTCAATGCTTGCCTGAACCTTTTCTCCTGTGATAATACACAATGTGTGTGTCATGAACTAAGGAGTATCAAAGGGAGAGATGGTCATGCAGCAAGAGGGAATATACTCAAGTGAATCAACAAAGCAATACTGAAACCAAAAGAACCAATGGAGAATGAAAAAAGGCAAAACACTATAAAAGTTTGGGGCCAGATGTATTTTCTAAACATCATTTCAAAATTGTTGTAAAAATTTATCAGCCAAAGCATAAAATTCCATTTGCCTACATTTAACTTAACAACAATGAAGATACTAATAATATATTTCTTGCCCATTAACAAAATACTTGCCCCAGATGAGTGAGTGGATTTTTGCAAGGCTGGTTTAAATATATAATTATCCTCTTCTTTTCTTTGCGTAATATTTACTGTGCACCTTCTACATTAATAAAAGATGGGTTTGAGCCTGAGAGATGTTTGAGCATGTTGAAGATGGCAGTAAGTACACTTTACAGAAATGTCTTATACAATCTAACAGGGATGAAACAAACGGTGTACTACAGAAAATTAATCAAGTTCTCTAGGTTTTTATATTAACGTTTATAGAATTTAAGAGTGCTTATATTCATAGATACATAGACTTTTAAGGCCAGAAGGGACCATTAGATCATCTAGTCTGCAGGGGTGTTGGAACAATTTGTATAGCAGGAGGCTGAGAGCCATTGAGCCAAACTATAAACTCTGTATATGATAGAAACCACTTCAAGCCTGTGGGTGCTGCCGCACCCCCAGCACCCCTAGCTCCAGCACCTGTGTTAGTCTAACCTCCTGCATTACACAGGTCCTTACATTTCCTGCAGTTACTCCTGCATTGCACACAATAACTGTGTTTGATTAAAGCATATCTTCCAGAAAGGCATTCAGTCTTGATCTAAATACATCAAGAAATGGTGGTTAATCACCGTCATTGTTGAAAGTGTTTGTCTTATTTCCAATTTGAATTCCTCTGACCGTGTACAGCGGCAAAACTACCTCCCTATTCCTGCTCACTACTCCCCTGTTTATACATCCATGGATCGCATTAGCCCTTTGTGCCACATCTCCTCACTGGAAGCTCACATTGAGTTGCTTGTCCACTAGGGCTAGAGCCCCTGGTTTTGGAAAATTTGAAATAACATGACATGAAATGAAAATCAATGTATATGAAGAAAAACCAAAAAACTCCCCTGCAGCAATGACTCCTATCCTCAGGACCGGGCCCAGCTCCCTGCTCTGGGCATTGCAACCTGGCATGTGGGGTCGCAGCACCACTCAGTTTTGGTGAGCGGTGTTGCAACTTGGCACATGGGGTTGCAGCACGACTCAGGATTGGCCCAGCCACCTCATTGTCATAATGGAGGGCCAGCTGGGCCAAACCTGAGTGGCTCTGCCATCCCATACAGCCAGTTGCAATGCCTGGTGTGGGAAGGTCTGGGCCCAGCTCCACAGGACTGGAGCTGCTGCTGCAGGATGGGCTTGCTCTGCCACCCCCTCATCAGGTCACAGTGCCGAGAGTGAGGAGCCAGGCCCAGCCTCATGGGACAGGAGCTGTAGGAGCCGTCACTGCAGGGTGAGTGCAGGGCAGGCTCACTCTGCAACCCCCCTCCAACTCCCACCACCCCCACTCCTCCGAGTTAGGGCCTGACCCCATCCAAAGTGCCTCCCACTCCCACACCACCTCCCTCCCAGAGCAGGACCCAATCCCGCAAAGACCCCCCACCCTGGGGGGCAAGACCCACTCCTCCACCCCCACAGATGAAATGAAATAAAACAAAATCCTCTCCCCCCCCCAAAAAATATATATATATATAAAAAAAGCAAGAAGAATTTCACAGGGCTCTAACTCTGATTCCTGAATCCTTTCCACGGTCACTGCTTTGCTGGACACAGCCCCCCATTCTGTAGATATGGCCTGCACTCCTTGTTCCCAGGTGTATAACTTTCCACTTGGCTGTATTAATACACATTTTGTTTGAACAGACCCAGCTACCTTACCAAGCAATCCAGATTGCTCTGTTTGACTGCTCTGTTCTCCTCATTATTTACCATTCCATCAATCTTTGTGTCATCAGCAAAGTTGATGAGCAGTGATTTTACATTTACTTCCATTCTATAGGATGGTTCATAAAAGCCCTATAGGAATTGTCCTGCTGACTAAGATCACTGGTCCATTTGTCCAGGATTTTGTTGCTAATAGCAGTCAGTACCTAACGCTTCAAACTTAAAAGAAAGGTGCAAGAAAACATTTAGTTGTCAGTTATGTAACAGTCTGCCTGCAGGGGAAGGTTCTTCCTAACTGCAGTCAGTTTGTGGCCTGAAGCATGAGGATTTATATCATGTAAGGTAAAAATCAGTCCTATCCAATATAAACATAGATGTTCTCATTAGTCATAGAATCGTCTAATCTTTTCTTGAAGCCTACTAAACTCCTGACTACAGTGATATCAGGGGCCACAAGTTCTACATGTTAAATATGGGTTGGATACCAGAAATAACCCTTTTTCAATGTGAAACGTGTCTTTTCAGTTTCATTGAAAGCCCTTATGAACAGGTGGCCGCATCCATCTGTTCTAAAGCAAAATCCACATTGGGTGGAGTCAAAAACTCACTTTATCCCTTTCCTGGAGTTTGCTTTATTAACGAAGACATAAAACATAAACAATCACAAGCCATTTCCTTAGGCTTGGCTGCACCTAGAGGTCCTACTGGAGAACTGCTCAGCCCATACTATCTTCTCTCTTGCTGGACAGCCACTTTCACAGCCCTCAGAGATGCCTTGGGGAGAGGTAATGAACCACCTGCCTCAGTGAATCAGCAGAACCTACTTAAACCTTGCCCATCAGGATCAATGGCTGGTAAGAAGGTGATATCTTCAGCAAACACTGTCACCCTGGGACAGTCCCCTTGTTCTTGCAGTATGAAAAAGTGTAACTAGAGCCCCCAGTTTATGTTCTCTATGCTCTTTGTTATATTGTACCCATCTATGATCCCACTTACCAATCACCTCTCGACAGTCGCAGTCTTCTCTCTGTCTTTTCACATGGAAATCTCCCTTGCATCTAATAATTATCATCACCCAAATCTGAATCACTTGTATTTCTGCTTCATATTTTTTAAGACCAGAACTGAACACAATATTTCAGGTAACAGCATACCATTGATTTATATAATAGCATTATATCATCAATGTTATTTTCCATCCTACTCCTTATACATCCTGTCATTGTCTTCTGTTTTGACAGATGCTGAGCATAGGCTTTTATTGAGCTTTCCAAAATGATGCCCTGAATGACTGCAGTTAATTTAGAACCCAGCAATTTCTATTAAAATTCAATGCAACTCTTCCATGGAAAAGATGATGCTCTCTCATTTGTGTTGAAAATTCCAAAGATTATTAGCCCTGCTCACTCACATACTGACTGTACACACAGTATTTTGTCTTTCAGGCATTTATGCAGGATGCTGAATCTGATTGGGAATAAA